AAGTGCACATGGGACATTTTCAAAGATAGACCACATATTAGGGCACAAAGTCTCTTCAAATTCAAGAGGATAGAAATCCTATCAAGCATCTTCTCAAATCACAATGGCATAAAACTAGAAATCAACTACAATAAAAACAATAAAAACCCAAACACCTGGAGGCTAAATAGCATGCTATTAAACAATGATTGGGTTACCAGAGAGATCAAAGAAGAAATAAAAAGCATCATAGCAACAAACGACAATGAAAATACAACAATCCAAAATCTATGGGACACAGTGAAAGCAGTCTTGAGGGGGAAGTTCATAGCTCTACAAGCCTACCACAAAAAATAAGAAACAATGGTAATAAATTATCTAACCCTACAACTCAAAGAGTTAGAAAGAGAACAACAAAAAAATCCCAGCATAAGCAGAAGGAAGGAAATAATAAAGATCAGAGCAGAGATAAACAAAATAGAGACCAAAAAACAAAACAAAACAAAAAAAACCCACACAAAAAAACAAAACCCACAATCCAAAAGATCAACAAAACCAAGAGTTAGTTCTTTGAAAGGATAAACAAGATTGATGAACCTCTAGCCAGGCTCACCAAGAAGCAAAGAGAGAGGACCCAAAAAACAAAATCAGAAATGAAAGAGGTGCAATAACAACCAATCCCACAGAAATACAAACAATTATGAAAAAATACTATGAACAACTCTATTCCAACAAAAAGGACAACCTAGATGAAATGGACATATTCTTAGAAAAATACAAGCTTCCAAAACTCAACCAAGAAGAATAAAAAAACCTGAATAGGTTGATAACTACTGAAGAAATTGAAACAGTGATCAAAACTCTTCCAACATATAAGCATAACCAATGGACACAAGACACTGGGGAGTAGGGGAGGCCGGGGGAACGTCAAGGGGGGAAAAAGGAGACATATGTAATACTCTTTGTAATACTTTAAGCAATAAAACAAAATTTAAAAAAGCCTCTTCCAGCAAACAATAGCCCTGGTCCAGACGGCTTTACAGGGGAGTTCTGCCAAGCATTCAAAGAAGAACTAAAACCTGTCCTACTCAGACTATTCCAAAAAATTCAAGAGAAAGGCACACTTCCAAGCTCTTTCTATGAAGCCAGCATTACCCTAATTCCAATACCAGATAAAGATACCACAAAAAAGAGAACTACAGGCCAATATCCTTGATGAACGTAGCTGCTAAAATCCTCAACAAAATTCTAGCAAATCTGATTCAGCAATACATTAGAAAGATCAAATACCATGACCAAGTGGGATATATTCCAGGAATGCAAGGATGGTACAATATCTGCAAATCAATAAGTGAGATATATCACATAAACAAACTGAGAGACAAAAATCACGTAATCATATCAATTGATGCAGAAAAAGCATTTGGCAAAATCCAACACCATTTCTTGATAAAAACTCTCAGCAAAGTGGGAATAGAGGAATCATACCTCAACATAATAAAAGCCCTATGTGACAAACCTACAGCCAACATCATACTCAGTGGGCATAAACTAAAACTATTTCCCCTAAGAATAGGAACAAGACAAGGATGCCCACTTTCACCACTCCTGTTTGACATAATACTAGAAGTACTAGCCATAATGATCAGACAAGAAGAAGAAATAAAAGGCATCCAAATTAGAAAAGAAGTAAAACTATCCTTATTTGCAGATGACATGATACTATACATAGAAAACCCCAAAGACTCCATAAAAAACTACTGGACTTAATAAATGAATTTGGCAATGTAGCAAGATACAAAAATAATGCCCAGAAATCTATGGCCTTTTTATACACCAATAATGAACTCACAGAAAGAGAAATGAAAAAAACAATCCCATTTACCGTTGCACCAAAAAAACTAAGATACCTAGGAATAAACTTAACCAAGGACGTAAAAGACCTGTACTCGGAAAAGTACAGGGCATTGAAAAAAGAGATAGAGAAAGACATAAACAAATGGAAGAACATACCACATTCATGGATTGGTAGAATCAACATCATTAAAATGTCCATACTACCCAAAGCAATCTATAGATTCAATGCAATACCTATTAAAATACCAACAGCATATTTGAAAGATCTAGAACAAACTCTCCAAATATTCATTTGGAATAAAAAAGACCCTGAATAGCCAGAGCTGTCCTGAGAAAGAAGAACAAAGTTAGTTGGAGGGATCACAATACCAGACATCAAACTATATTACCAAGCCACGGTTCTCAAAACTGCCTGGTACTGGTACAAGAACAGACATTTAGACCAATGGAACAGAATAGAGGATAAAGCAATTGACCCAAGCCATTATACTCAATTAATATTTTACAAAGGAGGCAAGAGTATACAATGGAGTCAAAACAGTCTCTTTAATAAATGGTGCTGGGAAATTTGGTCAGATACATGCAAAAAAATGAAACTAGATCACCAACTTACACCATACACAAAAACAAACTCAAAATTGCTAAAGGACTTGAGTAAGATGGGAAACCATAAAAACCCTACAAGAGTCCATAGGCAGCAAAATTGCAGACATATGTCATAGCAATATCTTCACAGACACAGATCCTAGGGCAAGAGAGACTAAGGAGAAAGTAAACAAATGGGACTACATCAAAATAAAAAGCTTCTGCACAGCAAAAGAAACCATCAATAAAACAACAAGAAAGCCCACTGCATGGGAGAACATATTTGCCAATATTATATCCAATAAGGGTTTAATCTCCAACATTTACAGGGAAGTCATACAATTTAACAAAAGGAAGATAACCAAATCAAAAAATGGGCAAAGGACCTAAATAGACACTTTTCGAAAGAGGACATTCAGAAAGCCAAGACACATGAAAACATGCTCAAAGTCACTAATCATCTGAGAGATGAAAATCAAAACAACAATGAGGTACCACCTCACACCTTTCAGAATAGCTATCATCAACAAATCAACAAATGACAAACGCTGGAGAGGATGTGGAGAAAAAGGAACACTCTTGCACTGCTGGTGGGAATGCAGACTGGTGCAGCCATTTTGGAAAATAGTATGGCGTTTCCTCAAAACACTATAAATGGAACTGCTATTTGACCCAGTGATCCCACTTCTAGGAATATATCCCAAGAAGCCAGAAACACCAATCAGAAAGGATATATGCACCCCTATGTTCATAGCAGCACAATTTACAATAGCTAATATTTGGAAACAACCTAAATGCCCATCAGCAGATGAGTGGATTAGAAAACCGTGGCACATCTACACAATGGAATACTACACTGCTATAAAAAAGAAGGAATTCTTACCATTTGCAGCAGCATGGATGGAACTGGAGAGCATTATGCCAAGTGAAATAAGCCAGGCAGTGAAAGAAAAAAATACCACATGATCTCACTTATTTATGGATAATAAAGAACATTATAACCTAATGAACAAAAAGATAGATACAGAGGCAGAGAAGCATCGAACAGACTTTCAAATTACAGGGGGAAGGCTGGGGAGTGTTGGGGGGGTGTAAGAGATCAATCGAAGGACTTATATGCGTGCACATAAGCATAACCAATGGACACAAGACACTAGGAGGAAGGTGGGGGAAGGGCATGTGCTGGGGGGTAGGGGAGGCCGGGGGAAGGTCAATGGGGGAAAAAAGGAGACATATGTACTACTATTTGTAATACTTTAAACAAGAAAATAAAAAAAGAAATTGAAGCAGTTATCAAAGAGCTTCTAGCAGCCCTAACCGGTTTGGCTCAGTGGATAGAGCGTTGGCCTGGGGACTGAAGGGTCCCAGGTTCGATTCCACTCAAGGGCATTTGCCTTGGTTGTGGGCACATCCCCAGTAGGGGGTGTGCAGGAGGCAGCTGGTCGATGTTTCTCTCTCATCGATGTTTCTAACTCTCTATCCCTCTCCCTTCCTCTCTGTGAAAAATCAATAAAATATATTTTTTTAAAAAAGCTTCCAGCAAACAAAAGCCCTGGACCAGATGCCTTCACAGAGTTTTATCAAACATTCAAAGAAGAACTAAACCTATCTTCCTCAGACTATACCAAAAAATTCAAGAGGATGGAACACTTTCAAGCTCATTCTATGAAGCCAGCATTACCTTAATCCCAAAGCCAAATAAAGACAATACAAAGAGAGTTACAGGCCAATATCCCTCATGAACATAGATGCCAACATTCTCAACAAAATTCTAGCAAATAGAATCTAGCATTACCTTAGAAAGATCATATACCATGACCAAATGGGATTTATTCTGGGGATGCAAGGATGGTACAATATCTGCAAATCAATAAATGTGTTACACCACATAAACAAATTGAGAGATAAAAACCATATAATAATATCCATTGATGCAGAAAAAGCATTTGACAAAATCCAACACCATTTCTTGATAAAAACTCTTAGCAAGGTGGGAATAGAGGGATCATACCTCAACATAATAAAATCCATATATGACAAACCCACAGCCAACGTCATACTCAATGGGCAAAAACTAAAACCATTTCCCCTAAGAACAGGAACAAGACAGGGATGCCCATTCTCACCACTCCTGTTCAACATAGTACTGGAAATACTAGCCATTGCGATCAGACAAGAAGAAGAAATAGGTCTTCAGTTCCTTTAGCTGAAGGTCCTCTGACCCCCAATGCTTTTCAAAATTATAACTCGTCTCCAGACTCTTTATTAGTCTCTGGATTCCTATGTCATCTACGCGCAGCCTTTTCCAGATTCCTGAACCCTTCTTGATGCTGTGACATGCACCCCGGCATAAATGGTGTCCCGAACTGGGGCTTTCTGAACCCTGGAAGTGCCAGCAATAAATGGACGCCCGAAATGGGACAAGAGCACCAACAATAAATGGCGCCCAAGCACCGACAACCCTGGAAGCACCTGCATTAATGGCGTTGGACATCTGGAAAAGAAGAATTCGCCTGAGCGGAAACAGCACCAGTTATGGTGACACCAGCGCCTGGCGGAGCCACGCCGGGGGGGGGGTCATGGCGATGAGCTATAATTCGAAGGATGAGGTGGACAGCGGGCCCCCGTGCGCTCCCCGGGGCGCCACGAAGAACCGGAGGCCGGATAACACGGCCTTCAAACAGCATCGCCTGCCAGCTTGGCAGCCCATCCTTATGGCTGGCATGGTGCTCCCTACCTTCATCATCATCGGCCTCATCTTCATCCCAACTGGCAAAGGCATCTTCGTCACTTCTAAGAAAATCCATGAGATCGAGACTGATTACTTCGGAATAGGCACTTCCAGTCCCTGCAATAAATGTTTGTCCTGGAATGTGACACCTGTATTTGTACAATTAACTTCACACTGGAACAGTTATTTGAGGGCAATGTGTTTATATATTATGGACTGTCTAATTTCTATCAAAACCACCGTCGTTATGTGAAATCTCGAGATGATAGTCAACTAAATGGAGATCCTACTGCTTTACTTAATCCCAGTAAGGAATGTGAGCCTTACCGAAAAAATGAAGACAAACCAATTGCTCCTTGTGGAGCTATTGCCAACAGCATGTTTAATGATACATTAGAATTGTTTCTGGCTGTCAATGGATCATTTTCAACAGCAATTCCTTTGAAAAAGAAAGGTATTGCTTGGTGGACAGATAAAAATGTGAAATTTAGAAATCCCCCTGGAGAAGGCCCCCTAGAAGAACGATTCAAAGATACAACAAAGCCAGTAAACTGGGTTAACCCAATATACTTGCTGGATTCTGACCAAGATAATAATGGGTTCATAAATGAAGATTTTATTGTTTGGATGCGTACTGCAGCATTGCCTACTTTTCATAAGTTATATCGTATTATAGAGCGGAAAAGTGATTTACATCCAATGTTACTAGCTGGAGACTACTTTTTGAATATCAAATACAATTACTCTGTACATTCTTTTGATGGACGAAAATGGATGATCTTAAGCACTATTTCATGGATGGGAGGAAAAAATCCATTTTTGGGAATTGCTTATATCACCACTAGATCCAACTCCTTCCTTCTGGGAGTTGTATTGCTAGTAATTAATCATAAGTATAGAAACAGTAGTAATACTGCTGACATTACCATTTAATTTTATATTCTGAAAACAAACTTACCGCATGTACATCAAGGCCAGTTCTGTTCAGCCTAGCTTTTGAATGCCTATGTCTGGTTAGTATGTCATTTTTGAGGTTGGCATATCACTTTTTATTTAAAAAAGTCTTTGTCCTTTACTTCATTCCTATGGATGACTTATGAAAATATATGATGGGTATAAAACAAATTAACCTTATTGATCATGTCAGCACTGTAACTACTGAAATGGCATTCTAATGTTTGCTTCTTGATGGGACAGCTCATATGCATAGAGCCTCTCTCATGTGAAATGTGCCTGCTGCTTAAATGTTTATGCTGTGTTGATAAATATTATATTGACATACGTGCTGTATATGTGTGCCTATTGTGTAAAGAGAGGAATTACAAGATGTATGAGTAAAATGATTTGCTAACTTTCAGGATTCAAAGTTATGAAAAAATGAAGAAAGACCAAATCTAAATAAAACACTTCATCATCGTCAAAAAAAGAAGAAGAGCCCTAACCGGTTTGGCTCAGTGGATAGAGCGTCGGCCTGCAGACTGAAAGGTCCCAGGTTCGATTCCGGTCAAGGGCATGTACCTTGGTTGCGGGCACATCCCCAGTAGGAGGTGTGCAGGAGGCAGCTGATCAATGTTTCTCTCTCATCGATGTTTCTAACTCTCTATCCCTCTCCCTTCCTCTCTGTAAAAAAATCAATAAAATGTATTTTTTTAAAAAAGAAGAAATAAAAGGCATCCAAATTGGAAAAGAAGAAGTAAAACTGACCTTATTCACAGATGACATGATATTGTACATAGAAAACCCCAAAGACTCCATGAAAAAACTACTACACTTAAAAGATGAATTCGGCAATGTAGCAGGATACAAAATTAACACCCAGAAATCTATGGCATTTTTATACATCAATAATGAACTAACAGAAAGAAAAACTAAAAAAGCAATCCCATTTACCATTGCAACAAAAAAATTAAGATACCTAGGAATAAATTTAACCGAGACAAAGGACCTGTACTCAGAAAATTTAAGGACACTGAAAAAAGAGATAGACAAGACATGAACAAATGAAAGAATATGCCATGTTCATGGGTTTGTAGAATCAACATCATTAAACTGTGCATACTATCCAAAGCAATCTATAAATTCACTGCAATCCCCATTAAAATACCAATGCACACTTCAAAGACCTAGAACAAACTCTCCAAAAATTCACTTGGAATAAAAAAAGACCCTAAATAGCTGCATCAATCTTGAGAAAGAAAAACAATGTTGGAGGTATCACAATACCAGATATAAAGCTATCTACAAAGCTACTGTTCTCAAAGCTGCCTGGTACTAGCACAAGAACAGACATATAGACCAGTGGAACAGAACAGGGAACGCAGAAATCAACACAAGAATTATGCTCAATTAATATTTGACAAAGGAGGCAAGAACATACAATGGAGTCAAGGCAGTCTTTTCAATAAACGGTGGTGGGAAAACTGGACAGGTACTTGCAAAAAAATGAAACTAGACCACTAACTTACACCATACACAAAAATAAACTCAAAATGGATAAAGGACTTAAACATAAGATGGGAAACCATAAACATCTTAGAAGAAGCCATAGGCAGCAAAATAGCAGACATTTGTCATAGCAATATCTTTACCTATAGAGCTCCTAGGGCAGTGATGGCGAACCTTTTAAGCTCGGCGTGTCAGCATTTTGAAAAACCCTAACTTAACTCTGGTGCAGTGTCACATATAGAAATTTTTTGATATTTGCAACCATAGTAAAACAAAGATTTATATTTTTGATATTTATTTTATGTATTTAAATACCATTTAACAAAGAAAAATCAACCAAAAAAATGAGTTCTCGTGTCACTTCTGACACGCATGTCATAGGTTCGCCATCCCTGTCCTAGGGCAATGGAAATTAAGGAGAAAATAAATAAATGGGACTACGTCAAAATAAAAAGCTTCTGCACAGCAAAAGAAACCATCAACAAAACAATGAGAAAGCCCACTGCATGGGAGAACATATTTCCAATGTTATCTGCAATAAGGCTTTAATCTCCAAAATTTACAGTGAACTCATACAACTTAACAAAAGGAAGATAAATAACCCAATAAAAAAATGGGCAAAGGACCTAAATAGACACTTTTCGAAAGAGGACATACAGAAGGCCAAGAGATAGATGAAAACATGCTCAAAGTCACTAATCATCCAAGAGATGCAAATCAAAACAACAATGAGGTACCATCTCACGTCTGCCAGAATGGCTATCATCAACAAATCAACAAACTACAAGTGCTGGAGAGGAGCAGAGGAAAAGGAACTCTTCTTCACTGCTGGTGGGAATGCAGACTGGTGCAACCACTGTGGAAAACAGTATGGCGTTTCCTCAAAAAATTAAAAATGGAACTGTCATTTGACCCAGTAATACCACTTCTAGGAATATATCCCCAAAAAACAGAGACACCAATCAGAAAGGATATATGCACCCCTATGTTCATAGCAGCACAATTCACCATAGCTAAGATCTGGAAACAGCCTAAGTGCCCATCAGCAGATGAGTGGATTAGAAAACTGTGGTACATCTACACAATGTAATACTACGATGCTATAAAAAAGAAGGAACTCTCACCATTTTCAACAGCATGAATGGAACTAGAGAGCATTATGCTAAGCAAAATAAGCCAGTCAGTGAAAGATAAATACCACATGATCTCACTCATTTGTGGAATATAAAGAACATCATAAACTGATGAACAAAAATAGATACAGAGAGAAGGAAGTATCGAACACTGTCAAACTACAGTGGGAAGGTAGGGGAGGGAGGGAAGGGGCAAGAGATAAACCACTGGTCTATATGTCTGTTCTTGTGCCAGTACCAGGAGACATATGTATTGCTATTTGTAATACTTTAAACAATAAAAGCAAAAACAAACAAAAACCCCAAAGAACAGTGCATGCAGCTCACACAGAGAAAAGCAGTTACTTACCTACAAGGAAACTCCCATACTACTGTCAACAGAAACTTTGCAGGCCAGAAAGGACTGATAAGTAATATTCAAAGTGACGAAAAGCAAGGACCTATAACCTATAACAAAGCTTATTGTACCTAGCAAAGCTATCATTTAGAATTAAAGGTCAGATAAAGAGCTTCATAGTCAAGAAAAAGCTAAAGGATTTCATCGCCACCAAACCAGTAGGACATGAAATTTTAAAGGGTCAGAAGGAGGAGGAGGAGGAGGAGGAAGAGGAGGAGGAGGAGGAGGAAGAGGAGGAGGAGGAGGAGGAGGAGGAGGAGGAGGAGGAGGAGGAGGAGGAGGAGGAAAGATAACAATTATGAACAATAAAATGGTAATAAATACATATCTATCAACAATTGAATCTAAAAATAAAACTGAATGAACAAGAACAGAAACAGACTCATAGATACAGAGAACATTTTGACAGTTGCCAGATGGGAGGGTGTTTCCGGGGATGGGTGAAAAAGGTAAAGTGACGTAGAAGTACAAATCAGCCATAGATCATGCACACAGAAAACAGACAGGTGAAGGCCTGTGATGGTGGGAGAGGGGTGGAGGGAGGCAAAGGGGATGAAATGGGGGACATCTGTAATACTCTCAACAATAAAATAAATTATAAGTAAAATAAATGGCTTAAAGTGGCAAAAAAGGAACCCCTAAGAATCTTTTCTGAGCAGCTGGACCTCAAAGAAGTTGGTCTTCAGGAACAATTTCCAGGCCCTTCCTGTTACTAACCATGATTCCTGGGGTCCTGAGCTTCATCAGAATCATGTTTACCAGCTTCTGTGGTCTGATTATTTGGATGCATGGAACCTGGGACGGTGTTGAGACCTAGGAGAAGCAAAATAGAAGCTTAAGAGACAACCTGAGAGGAGGGTGGATGCAGGGAGGCAGCAGGGACAGGGAAGGTCACGAGGTGGGGGAACAAGGGCCAGTGGGAGTGAAAAGTGCAGGGTCCAGATCTGAGCATCTCTGTGGCCACTCCTGGCCCTGGGCCCTGTTCAGGATCCAATAGAGCAGAAGGTTCTGAAGCTGCCCAGAGAATTCTCCCTTCACAAATGAAATGGGGTAAAATTTTCTGTGCCTAAGAAGCCATGTAAAGGGAAAGAGGACCCAGCCAGCATGACTCAGTGGTTGAGCATCGACCTATGAACCAGGAAGTCACAGTTTGATTCCTGGTCTGGGTGCATGGCCAGGATTGTGGGCTCAAGCCCTAGTGTGGGGCGTGCTGGAGGCAGCTGATCAGTGATTCTCCCTCATTGATGCTTCTGTCCTTTACCCACCTCCCATCCTCTCAGAAATCAATAAAATTATATTTTAAAAAATAAAGAGAAAGAGGAATGGTCTTGTGTTCCCAGGACTGTCTAAACCCAGAAGTTCCTGTTACCTTGCCCAATCAGGACCTCATAGGCTTCCTTCATGTACACACAGATTCTTTGGCTTAAATTTCCCAGTTTTGTCCACTCTTCCTTAGTCAAGCATTTGGGAACATCCTGGGACATCTAGGAAAAGAAGAAATAAATGAATCCCTGCAGCCGCTCAGGTAAACACGTTTGCCCTTTGGCCTGCCCTCTTCCTGTGCTGCAGAACCTGTGTTGGACCTGTACACTGGAGCTAACAGTTCCTCCTGGCTGATGTCACAGTGAACTGACAGAACAAGGGAAACATGGCTCAGCCTCTCCCCTGCTTGCAGCAGGTGCTTCATGCTGCTGGTGGGCTCTCCTCTCACCTTCCAGAATGGACCGTGAGTCACCACGTGTAGCCAAGGTCACAGGCCCTGTTTCCTTCAGGGATGCTAGGCAAGTTCTGAGTGAGGGTGGGAAGCTCCTGAGACTCGGATCTCCCCCGGCCGACACCCTGCTCCCTGTCCTCACCGCCTCTGACCTCATGACCTCAGACATGTGCTCACCCTGTCGTGTGCCCCAGTCACTTCTTGAGACCCCCCAGGCTCCTCACCTCAGATGTCTTCTCTGAATCCTGGGAGCCCTCCATGGGGTTGTTATCCAAGGAGCTGTCTCTGTTCATGCCTCTGGGAGTGCAGTGATGATGAAGGGATACAAGTGAGTCTCTGAGGTCACCCA